GCAAATTGATTTTTAAAGTGCTTATTCTATTAGGTCATGGTTAATTTTTGGTTAATGTTTCATGCATCACCTTATATTATTATAAGATTGAGAAATTGTTTTGAGTTCTAATTTCAACCAAAAAAGGAAAAAAAGTTTGTTGATATCTAGTTTGCACGAGGGCGTGCAAAAGTCTAAGTGTGGGGGCATTTGTTAAGTCATAAAATATCAAATTTTATAACCTCATTTTTTAGTATTTTAAAGGCACTTTATATGCATTTTTTACATAAATATTCTTATTTTAACACATTTAGCATGATTTTGAACATATTTATATTTGAAAATTAATTTGAACATATTATTCTCCATGACAGATATGTTTTTTAGATATATTTTGAAACACAAAAAGTTGAGGAAGATAATAAAGTGGACCTTGAAGTTCAAAATAAAGGAGAATGAAGATATGGGGCAAGCCCAAACATGACCCAAATGAAATCTATTTGTTAAACAAATATAAAGAAAGCAAATCAACCAAAAAAATAAGAAGAAAGAGAGAGAGACGGGCGGCAGAGAGTAGAGGAGCCGACCTAGGGTTCCGACCATAGGTCAGGCCTGGCAAGACGACGGCAACTGGATTCCGGCGAAGGCAACGGTAAAGACGACGACGACTAGCGGCTCAAGGTCGGCATGTGGTCCCGGCTTCTATGAACCGTACGAAGAAGGAAGCTCAGGGAGCAACTTTTTCCTTAATCTCAATTTTTTTAAAATTCTAGTTCTCTGTGGGATTTCATGTTGACTTTCCAATGGATGAATTTGATTTCTATATTAAATATGTTTGAATTATATTTTTTCAAATCTTGTTTTTATGTTGAATGTTTAAGTTGTATTATAAGTGATGAATTATTTGTGTGTTGATGTTGAACTGTTCAAGTTTTGATTTATTGATTTATTATTGTCTCTGAAATCATAAAACCTTTTTAGACTAAATTGTCTGGTAAAAAAGATTGAACCTTTGTTTGTTGAATTAATTTGACTTTGAAGAGATTTTAGTTGTATGCTACTGTTAAATCTAAACTCGAAAAGGTGTTCTAAGAACTATTATTTACCAGATTTCACTTAAATTGGACCAAATTAGGATCGCGACCTAATCCATTTTAGAATGATATTCTTTTAAAGTCCAAAGTGCTTTAAATAGCCAAACTTTTCAAGAAACTAAGTGTCACTTGATTAGTCTAGGCTATCTCGTTAAGTGATTTTTGCTAATCAAGGTTCTCGAACTAATTTTGTTAAATAACCGTAGTGTTATTGCAAAGTTGTTATGCTGATGTTTTCCACAAATCTTAATGCGCTATTTTTAGTAGTAACTTAAGGGTTGGCCTTTGAGTTTCTAATGGTAGTAGGGTTTAGAGTTAGGGTTGGTTCTAACATGAACTAATATGGGAAAATAGGGAAGAACTGTTGGTGGAGCTCTTCTTCAGCGTAACCCCGAGTTTAATTAGCAGTTTAATTTCAGAAACAAGGCATAATTAATTAGTTAATCAGACTTGTTCAGTTTATTTTCTATTAAAAACTATAAGTATTTTCAAAATGGTTTAAGTTAATTATTATTGTCTACGTTTTTATAAAGTTTAAATGTGTGTTTGTTTGTGTGATTGTTTGTGTGATTGTTTGTGTGTTTGTTTTCTCCCTGAGTGTTACTTCTGAGTTTCGAGTGGTCGTAGTTGTTCCGTCTCTTATCTGTTATTCTTTATCTTTATTTTATTTGCATTTTTAACTTTTTAATAATCATCATTCAAACCCCCATATCAATTAGTTTTAGTTTTTAGATTTTGGTTAGTTTTTATTCAATAAAAGTGACAAGTGAGTTGATTTTCATAGTCTAAAAAGTATCTTTCCTCGTGGGATCCACCCTTACTTGCCCTATCTATATGTTTTAATAAATATTAATTCATAAAGGGGTTAACAACTAATGAAAATAATAGATTAATCCGTAGGTGCTACGACACGCCTATCAAAAACCCTAACATTAGAGTATTTGTTTAGGTTTGAAATCTATGTTTGTAATTGTTTTGTTGATTAAATTACATGAAGCCCGTATGAATCATATCTTGAGGTTCATGGGATCAAAATGGGTAGAAGCATGGTTTTAGGCATTGAATGATTATTGAACATGTTTTACGTTATATACCTATCATATGTTGTTGTTTGATATGGTTGATATTGGATTTGGGACTTGGAAACGGCATTGGACGTTGAAAACCGCGCTACACGAGGTCTCATTCGTCAGACGGTAGGTTGGTACCGAGCTATCGCCATAGTTCACTCGGCTCTATCAGTCACTACTTCCGGTCGATACTCCACTATCAGATGGACGGTAGCCAACTTCTGGCACAGTCCATTCAGTGCTGCCAGTCGCTGTACTGCAAGGTATCCCGGTGCCGGGTAACGGTACCTAGGTAGTGTTCACGGTGCCTGACGGTACCTAGGTAGTGTTCACCGGTACACAGGCACCGCACCTGACAGACATCTTTTTTTCCCGAATCGGTTAAATGTCGATGATGAAGTCATAGATTGAGAGATTGTTCTTTAGGGCTTAAACTCTTAACTTCCAATTTTTCCAATTTCTTCGAGTTTCTTCAAATATATTCCAGTTCATTTCAGTTTCCTCCAGTTCCTTCTAGTTTTTCCAGATCCTTTTAATTTTTTCCAATTTCCAACTCTTCTCATTTTCTTCAAACTCTATCCACTACCCAACCAATTACTCTACAAATGAAATATTTTTAATGTGATTATTATTATTCTTACAACTTTTATTTGATAACTATAGTTTATAAATTATTTTTTTCATCTTATTATTTTTACGATTCACACTCATTATTATTTTTTCTTCAACATTTTAATATGAATAAGATAATTTTTTTGTATATTAATCTACATGATAAAATAGAAAAACATCAATATTTTAAACTATATTAAAAAATTATGGATAAAATAGTTACACATAATGTTTTATTAAGCTAACTTTGTATTAGACCCCTCATCTTTTTCTTTATTACTCAAGTTTTTCTCATTTTTATTTATTTCAAAATTTAATTTTGTTTTTTATTTTTCTAATTTTACAAAAAAATTTGAATGTTAAAATAGTTTAGAAAAAAAACTAAAATAGGAGCAAAACATAAAAAAATGTACAAAAATAAAAGTTCTATGTCTTTATTCGAAAAATAAGAGTTACAATGAAAATAAAATGATAATCATGAAAGAAAAATAGGTTTAATTACATTATGTGAAATGTCTGATTTAACTAAAAATATATTATTTTGTAATAAATATTGCATAAATAAATTGTGGTGTAATGTAACCACAATAACTTTTAAAATTTAACATTTTGATATTTATGCTAACTTTATATTATATATTTTTTTGCAAAAGTAGTTTTTGTGTATGTAAAATAACAATATGTTTTTTATCTTAAACGCATTCATTAATATAACGTGATGATGATGAAAATAATAATAACAATAACAATTATAATTATAATTATAATTATAATAATTATAATAATAATAATAATCATGTTAAATATGACAGATATATTTCTTGTTCTATTTAGAATATCTTGTTTCCTTATTGACCTAGACTATACCTCCTCCCGTGTATGTATAAATACCCCCGTATATGTGAAATTTCCACACCCACAGCACAGTATGTAAATCAAGGACACACACACTTATCACAGCAGAAGGTGGTTAGAAATTGTGCTGTAGCGCAACAACTAAGTTTCACAGAATGCTACAACACCTTTTCTAACACCAAACCAAACAAAACGAACACAAGCAAAGACACAGAAATCTGTTTACGCAGTTCGGAGCCAACTCTCCTACGTCTGCGAGGCCCACATCCGTGTAATAGCCTTTCCACTAGATCATTATAAGAATTACACAATCAAACTCAACAGGCCCTTCTATTGAACAGATTTGTCTACTTACGTGATCAGACACCAAGCTCTGTTTGGGTCAAACTAGGTCTATTACACCTTCTCGTTGCTCTGCAATAAGGATGTGTTCTTGACCTTTGCTCAGCCTCACACGATGCACAAGCTGAACAAATCTTCAGAGAAGATCCATGGCTGATCTTTTCACTGTAGCCTCACGTAAATATATATGATATGCTCTTCTCTTTTATGGATCAATTATCTGTAAGTGCTCTCTTTTAATCAACTGTGTATGTTCTCGCTCTCATACTGCCAAGCGTTGATCTCCTATTTATATCTCTCGACTAGCATAGGGTAAAACCCTAACCTGTAGTCTGTAGAACTCTTGTGCATACGTTGAGTCCAGATAGAAGTACTTTTATTAAGCCAGTTCCTTGACAGACCAGGAATCCTTTGTTGAACAGATAACTTCCAGCATAGAGTCCTAGTCCAGATTGCCATTCAGGATGACCAATAACTCTAACACAATTCTACTACCAAAAGGACACTATACTACTATCAACTTGTGGTTGTGTGTTGTCAAAAATAATGCCAACCCATACGTTAAATATGAAGGACCTAACAATCTCCCCCTTTGGCTATTTTTGACAAACACAATCACTTGACACTCAGCCAGGTCTAAACCTCTTCTCCCCCTTTTGGAAAAAATATGCCAAAGGCAAAAGTGTATATTATTCAAGAAACTGGAGAAGAGTAATATTGAGACAACTGGATGCAAGAGTGTGTACATTAGCGCAACTAAGACACCTTAAAATTGGTCATCCTACCTGTGCAAAGACCTGAGTGAAAATCAGGGGACCATGTGCAGAAATAAGGGACAGAACAATACCTTCAAAATATTAGGTAGCAGCAATCCTCACCATAACATACCCATATCATAATGCACATAGCAAAAATATGAGTTGAAGAATCCATGCCAAAGCATAAGGGACAGAACAATCCCATCAAAATAGTGAGTAGCCAAAAACAGTAGTGTTTTGCAAATAAAACAACTTGTGGAGTTTAATCAGCAAACTTGTGGAGTTCAGCCTCAAAGTCTGACTCTTCATTTGCTAGGTTATCATCCTCTGCATCTGCGTTGTCCTCTCCTTCCTAAGTGGCTTCATCATCTTCACTTTGCTCCCCCTGTGTTGCAGCATCATCTGACTCATCTTGCTTGGACTTCCCCCCCAGAGATTTAGCAACTTCATCTGGTGTGGTGTCCAGAGATGATATGATAATGGCCCATTTTTTCTTTTTGATTTCAGCTTCTTCGATCAGCTTCTTGTATTCCTCAATCTTCTCTTGCAGCAGCTGAATTTCTCCTTTGATGAAAGCTGTTTTTGAAAAGTTTGACTGAAGAATTGATGGGGCTGTCTTCTGTTCTTCCCTTGTTGCCATGTCATTGTAATGTCTTCCTTCAAAGTGCCTTAAATCAACCTGGAGAAGAGGAGGAGCAGGTTCTTCTTCATCTGCAACTACAAGTTTCTGAGATTTGAGCATTTGATAAATAAGAAGAGGATAAGGAAGCCCATTAGAATTCTGTTTGGCCCTCTCAGATGCAAAGCTTATGATCTGGTCAAAGATGAGTTTTCCAAGATTCACAGGTATCTAATGCTTGATTTTGTAAATGAGTGTGGCTATGCAGAGTGGGACTGTGTTCATATGGGTGGTTGGGAGCCAGTGATATGCAGCAACCCTGAACAGTATGGCATAGGAATTTTTGAGGATGGACGAGGACACTTTTGACTTGGTGGATTGAGATATACGCTCACCATTTGTGAGGTCAGTCCAGACTTGTCTTTCATTCACATTGAATTCAGAGGAGGGAGGTTTTATGTTTAGAAACTGATTGATTTTGGTAGGGGACAGATCAAAGGTTTTCCCTCTCATAAACACTTTGTGGTATGAAGAGTTAGTGTGAATGTTGCAACCCTCAGACAAGTTGCAGTAAAACTCTTGAATGACTTTTCTCACATAGGAACCAGGCAAAGTAATTGATTTAAGCAAATTACACTTTTTCAGCACAGGGATTAAGTTTGTTTTTGCTTCAAAATCCTCAACATCAATACTTCTTTGTGGCAGAATGGTTTTCTTGGCAATTTCAGACATGTATGAGCTAGTAATTGATGAAACAAACAGCTGTTTAGAAAACTTCCCTGGTTTGGGTGACTTTTCTGCTTTTGCATTTTTCCTTTGGTTGATCTGACTTCTGATTATGTGCTTTGCTGAGGAAGATGATGTTTTCTGCTTCTTTGAGCTCTCCTCCTGGTCATCCGTTGCTTTCTCCTTCCGCTTTAGTTCCTTCTTTTTCACTTCTTTTGTTTGAATTTCTTCAATCCCTTCTGATTCTTGATTCTCCTTTGCCTTTTGGCGCAGCGACCATCTGGATCCAGTGCGTTTCGCCATTGCTTTCTTGGATGCTGGAGTTGTGAATTGTAGATATTCAAAAGGCACATCTGAGCATGCTAGTAAAGGTTCTTCATCCACAATCTCTGGTATTTCCTTCTCTGACTGCAGATCTTCCTTCTTTTTGCTTTGCATGTTCTCTTCTTGTTGAGTGACTGTGTGCTCTAGGTAGAGTGTTTCTGAGATTGTGGTTACAGGGTGTAGAATCACATCATCTTCTGTGTCTTTTCTGACTTCAGCGTCTACAGATCTTGAATCTGGTTGCTCCATGCTTGATTCTTCCAGATTGGGTTGTGGGAGATTTTCTTCGTCTTCTTCTGCCGCCTGTGTATGAAGATGACCATCGGTTTGTTGTGCGTCCTTTGAAGCCAGTAGACGCATCCAGCGATGTTTTGCCCAGAGTTCTCTTTTTAGTGCAGATCTTCCCTTCCATCGTTTCGGGAGTGCATGCTTGATTCTCACCATCTTCGTCTTTCTTGTTTTTTTTTGCTCAAGTTTGTGAGACTTGATTGTTAGGGTTCTTGGAAGATCCTTTATTCGGATGACAATACCGAGGTTCTTACTCCGCCTTCTCTATTTGAGATAAAGTAGGTGACTCTTCGTGTGCCGCATTACTGTGTAACGGCGCATGTTATCACTTTTCTTTCAACTCAGCAGATTTCTTGAAAGTTGAGCACATTAGCTGACAATTTGTGCTCATTTTTATTCTTCATGATTTATTGAAATGGTGCGCACAGACCCAAATTGGATCTGAGAGTCACAAATCTTTCTCCATCAAGTGCCTTTGTGAATATATCAGCTAACTGATGTTCAGTAGGAACATATTCAAGAGCGACAATTTTATCTTCTAAGAGCGACAATTTTATGTTCAGTATAAAGTGATGTTTGATGTCAATGTGTTTGGTGCGTGAGTGTAGTACTGGATTTTTGGATATATTTATGGCGCTTGTGTTGTCGCAATAAATGGGAATAGTATCATGCTGGATTCCATAATCAGTTAACATTGACTTCATCCACAAGAGTTGTGCACAACAACTCCCGGCAGCTATGTATTCAGCTTCTGCAGTAGACCGGAAAACGAACAGAGCAGATCTTTCGGATCTTCTTATCCAATTCTCTATCCCAAAATCCAGTTGCTATCTCAGATATAAAGTCTCAAATGATTCAATAAAAAAGAGTTTTTCGAATGATCTGCGATCCGGAGCCGTAGATACATTCCATAGAATTTCAGCCGCTGTCTCCTTTGAACCCAGTTCGCGAGCAGCAGATGCGAAACCTAGGTCCAATCTCTGTGCCGCTCTGCCGCCGTCCAGTTTCAGCCACCAAATTGCTAGGATGTAGTGTGCACGGAGACTCAGGCTCTGATGGCACCGAGGTTATCACTGCCTTTAAGAAAATCAAGGAGAAGAACCCCATGACAATCTCAGCTATTTGCCTCCATTGCTAAAGGACACCTTAGCCCCTTGAAATCTAGCATCTATGTTGAATCCACGCACGGTCCAGGTTCTTAACCTATCCTTATTATTTTAACAAAAGAAATTAATATCATTGCGTGTTGATTTGATCTCCTCTTTACATAAATTTACTATCCTTAATTTGATGACTTGATGCAATACATGCTGCATATAAAACAAATTGGAGGGACATATGATGATTCTTAATCTACATATGCTATGCATCATATATCAGAAAATGCACTTGCCTCAACACATGTACTTCGAGTTTTCATGATTGTGTAGTTGGATTTCGTTCTTATTATTGTAACAAAAAAAAGGAAAGGAAAATTGCATTGTGAGCGGCAACTCTAGTATTGAAACCAATTCTTGAGCCTATTTGTCATGTGTTGGGTATTACAACCTAACAGAAACCAAATTATATGCATTTGGATTAGTTTTTAAGGTTATTTGTCGCGGTGTATAAATATTATCTCTTGATGTTTGACCCATTCATGGTGTGCCAATATATGTGTGTGCATTGCACATCTATGTGTTTTGCTGGACCATACCACACATATGTGTTGCCAGAAACGTTTTGATCGAAAATGATGTGGTTTGTGTGTTGATTAAATTCATATGTGAATTGCTACAAATATGTATATGTATGCAAATACTTTGATGATGTTTTCAATTTCTGGTAAAAACAAACTTTTCATCAACAACTTAAAAGATCCATTAATAAATATGAAATAAATTTATGTGACCAATATCTAATTGCATATTATATTTAGTTTGGGATTATAAAATAATGTTTGGGTTTTTAATTTCCCTTTTGATGTGGTAGTATAGAAAGTTAAAGATTCTATATATGCACTACATATTTCATTACATTTTTGTACTTTGGTATGAAAGATTTGTGAAAAAAATGCACATTTTATTACTTGATTCCAAATGTGATAAATGTTTTTGTTGTTTCGTATATGAGAAATACGGAATATATGACATATAAAAGAGGACTTCAATTGAAGTGTCAAATTTTGTCTTCAAAGTAAATCAAATTTGATATTTATTCTAAAGTTCATAATCTCTCAAAGAGAATAACAAAATAGATTTCTTTTAATCATGCATTACCATTTTCCAGAAATAAAAAGGCCTAAATATCTTTTCAATGCATTTTCTCCTTATGCAATGACATTATATTTTACTGTGATATACTAAGTTGCAATAAAACTTGTGTGACCAATATATGTAATTGCATGTTATATGTGATTTGAGATAACAAAATAGTATTTGAGAATCTAATTTCCTCTAAAGTGGTAATGTAAAAAAAAGATTCATATACTCCATATTTGGTTACATTTTTCCCATTGTTAGAAAAGATTTTTTTTTTGAAATAAAAAATCATGTTACATATTCATTCCCTGAAGTGAGTGAAAAATTGATTGACCTGCATGAATATAATAGGCTATCACAACTATTGTGGTTATGCATATGGACACATCAAAGTCACTATTATGGTCACATAGAATTACATTTTTTTTAAACATTGACTATTTGAATCTAAATATTCCTGAAGAATATCGAATTTTGAAAAAAAAATCATAAAGGTGTATAATCTCCTAAATTAAATAAGAGTCATCATGTTTATCAAACACAGTATATAAGATACATAAGGTCTTATAATATTTAATTACCACCTGAAGTGGCTTATTTTTAGTAAAAAAAAAAGTATCTCATTATACAGACACGTTTTGATATTTCAAGACCTTTGTTCTAATCTATATATGATTCCTCATCAATATTCCTGAAGAATGATGTAGTAAATATATTATAATCAAAGGAGTGATTATACACATTATATTTTTTTAGATGAAAGAGATTCTTTTCTCTTGTAATTATAGAAGTTAGTGTAAATATAATTTTCTTGTTATACAAAACTTATAGATAGCTCCAGAAGAGCATTGCAGAATAAGAGCTGCATAATAGAAGTAATAAAAGTCTCATAAATATTGAATATTTTGAGATGATAGTTATTATCCTGCATTGACGAATATTCTATTGGGTATAGACAAATCCTTATTATTTAAGGTGTCTCTGTTAATGTTTAAGATACCAGTGGAAATGAATATTATATGACACTTGATCGAGATTTGTTTTCACGTAAACCAGAAGTTTATAGAACCAATTTTTATTTTAAACATAACCAATTAAATTATCACAATTTAGTTTGTGATGTGAAGAAAAAATCATTAAAAACCCATGTGAGTACTATCTGAAGGACTAGAAGTTTCTGTTATTATTAGGAGCAGAAGATCTTAGAGTCTTGTCCTCATTAGAAGATTATTATGAGATTATTACTAATGAAACTTGAGATTCATTTCATACATATTTAGAAATTGTTCAAGGATAATTGATTGGGCCCATCAACTATTCGTGTTGACAATATATATGATTTATATAATGCATCGTTATATTTGTCATATTCGTTGACAATTAACTCGTAACCCAAAGTTTATGATATTTGTCCATATATTATATTATGGATACAATTTATAGGTTATGTTGAACATCATTAGTCACAAAAGAGCCTGCAGCTCTAGTTTATATGCAAAGTGCATTGAAATAGTGGCTATACTTTTGATTATGAGAACAAATCATTTTATACTAGATTTTGAATCTTCATTTATGTGGTAATTATTTGGAGCGAATGCTTAATGGGCTTAAATTAAGATAAATTATCAAGATACCACAATGGTAGGTAGACACTGAGGGAAGGTTTTTGAAGGAGTTGAATGGAAGATAAATTCCATGACATATGCTAGATTATATATATTCTTCAATTAAAGAAGATGTGAACCTGAAGTTCAAGAAANACAATTTATAGGTTATGTTGAACATCATTAGTCACAAAAGAGCCTGCAGCTCTAGTTTATATGCAAAGTGCATTGAAATAGTGGCTATACTTTTGATTATGAGAACAAATCATTTTATACTAGATTTTGAATCTTCATTTATGTGGTAATTATTTGGAGCGAATGCTTAATGGGCTTAAATTAAGATAAATTATCAAGATACCACAATGGTAGGTAGACACTGAGGGAAGGTTTTTGAAGGAGTTGAATGGAAGATAAATTCCATGACATATGCTAGATTATATATATTCTTCAATTAAAGAAGATGTGAACCTGAAGTTCAAGAAAAAAGATTATACTAAGATATTGCAAATAAAGTGCTCATCATGAATTTTATGTGTCAACTGTAAACACTTTGGTTAGAAGTGAATTCTTGATATTTTTCTCAACCATAAAAAAAATGGTTTTATTATAAGGAACCTGTAGTTCCAACATATGAGAACCTGAAGTTCTCCTTCACATGTATTTTATGTACACATGTTCATTTTTTATTAATCCTTCCCTATAAATAAAATGTCAAATCTTCAAAACTTTGAGTTTCTTACACTTGATATCTCCTGAAGAGAAACAAGTTTGTCCCTTCTCACAATATTTGATTGTTTGATTGTGTGCCTTATATGCCATCTCCCCCACAATGCATTTAATATAAAGTAGAAAACTGTGCATTGACATTGGCTATAACTCCTTGTCTATTGTTAAATGTTTAGAGTTTTTCATAGGAGATATATTAACAACAAAGTAAGTTGAGTGTCAACTTTATGATGAAATATTCCCAGTCTTAGGGGGAGATAAGAATAATGAAAGACTGGTAATACAAGAAGTTATATGAAATGCATCATTGTAAATTTTCGGCTCCTGAAGTGGTTAATATAATTTTGAAGTCTGATTTGCAAAGAAGAGCAAATGAATTACTAGATGCATTCACATATATGAGCAGAGTGACAAAGTTACGTATACCAGCATCTGAAACATCGCTCGATTTAATGTAGTCCCAGAAGTGACTATTGAACATCTTATGTGGGAGAATAATTGGTTTCAAAGATAATAACCCACGAAAATGAAGATAGCAAAAATGTTATTAGTGAAACCACATACATGATAATGAGTGAAACCCCAGCAGAGGTAATTGTCCCAGAAGAAGACTAATACTATTCCAGAAGAAAATGAAACCCCAGAAGAGATAAATGTCCTGGAAGAGACTAATATGATTCCAGAAGAATAAGTTTCCTAAAGAAACATCTGTACCGAAATAAAATG